AAAGTCACCACCCGTGTTAAGACAAACACATCAAGATAATGCGTACAGCTCATCAGGATGAATTACCATCCCCCGTGTAAAACACATCAAGATGAGTTAACCGCCCTCGTGTAGAACACATCAGTATAAATCCTATCTGTTTCATCTCACAGAAGACCGGGCTTAACCCAGGAGAAAAAATTCTAGGTTATTCTATTCACCTCAGCCGTGACTAGAATAGATGAGATCTACTACTGAAGAGGAAGGGGGAGGGGCTCAGATTTGTCAACGTCTTTTAGAAAAACGGTACATTGTCAGCAATTGTGAAAGATCGAGATAGAATATTTTAAGGACGTTGTTGTTTAGTTTTGTCTTTAACACACGTGAATATGAAAATCTTCCCGGAACGTAAACATAGTATTAGCTAGAGTATTATTAATTCTCACACAATTATCTTCCCATTACTTGGACCTTATAATCCTCACATAATAATCATCACATGTTCTGAGCATGATATTCCTCCCAGAAAATAAATATAGTAATCCTCCCACAACCTAAGCATGGTATCCCTCACATACCTTATAACATAATAATCCTCTTATAGATATAGATCTAGTAATCTACACAGAACCTGAGCATTCTAATCCTCCCATGAATTAGACTAGACATAACAATCCTCCAACAACCTAACCATGATATTCCTCACACATCTTAATAATCCACTTATGATTAAGGCAATAAAAATCCTCCTATTAATTAGTCATAATAATCCTCACAGAACCTAAGCACGATATTCATAATAGAACTTAGACATGATAATGAGATAATAATCCACACAGAACTAAGACATAATAATTATAATAATCCACACAGAACCTAAGCCCTAAGCGCGATATTTCTTATACAACTCAGACATAACAATGCAATAATAATCCACACATAACTAAGACATAATAATTATGATAATCCACACCGACATAACAATCCTCACAGAACCTGAGCACCTTAAAGAGCTTAAAACACATTAACCCTCACTTAACCCAACACACACGATAATCCTAACCAGCACCGAACCCCCACAACAAGTGAACACCCCCACACAGCACATGTCAACAAGCACCTAGACCACAGCCCCACGCCGGTAACACAGGCCACCTTGGTGTAACTACCTGACAACCTATGGCGCCGGGGGGGTGGGGCCACGTCACCTACACGGGTGAGAGCCAGGTGGACCTACGCAGGTAGACAAATGACAGACAACAGAGGTCTTTAGCACCGTGCGGGGTCACATGCTTGTTGAGAGAAGGAGGGGAGCAGATACTATCTATTCTAGGGTCTGGCGTAGTTGTATCAACAAAAAGACCACGACGCTACAATACATTGAGAGAATGTTGCTGTCTCGTGTTTCGCTCAGCCATCAGGAGACATACAGATGTTTTGTTTAGACTACTTAGGTGAAGAAGTATTTTATTGTTGAGATAGTCATACATAGTAAATTGGGAGGTGATTGAGGATGGGGGGGGGGGGGGGTATAGGGCAAAGGAGGAACTACATCAACATGTGACGCTAACGGGACCACTAGAATGCTAGTGGGGAAAAAATGGTTGGGGGGAGGGGTTATGTAATAGTAAGATTTTCGAATGATATAGACACGGGCATGTGTATGAGTGTTTGTACATGGGTATCAAGAACAAAAACTGTAACAAGCGAAGTAAATAAAACAGCGAATACAAAGAAGACAGATGCAGTATGTCCACTTTTCCATGAAATCAACGTACATTTGAACTTGTGCTAGCAATAATACAAGTACCACAACACACATAAAATGGCAGAAAACTAGAATGCAATTTTTTTCTAAAAGCTCTAACTTAATATTAAAAAAAACAACCCATTTTTCTCACGATTAATTTTTTTGTTGACATGCCGCGTTTGCCTTCTTTACCGAGGAGATATATTTCTTAGAAACACCGCAATCAAAAAAAAAAAAAAAATAGCACTTTGCAAGGGAGGTAACAAGCATTAATACGAACAAGATTATATCTTAATTGTCTCCCTTTAAAAAACTATCCAGCAAAAGAAGAACAAATCCTTTTAATGTTTAAATATCGGATTAAGGGGAGGGGGCGGGGGCAAAGAGATTTCAAAGACGAGCTCATTCAAACATCTATATATATAATTCTCTTCTTCGAGCCGTTAGAAAATAAAATACGGACTAAAAAGGAGAAAATAAAATACTTAAAAAAAACTTTTTAAAAAACCACGTTTTTCTTGTGGACTAAAAAGTAGAAAATAACTATTTACATACATTTGATGACAAAAAACGTGGGTACGTTCACCATCAAATTTCCCGACCCATCTGCCCGAATTATTTTCTACTTTTTAGTCCACAAGAAAAACGTGGTTTTTTAAAAAGTTTTTTTTAAGTATTTTATTTTCTCCTTTTTAGTCCGTTGCTACACATGAAAAACGTGGTTTTTAAAAAGTTTTTTATATAGTTTATTTTCTACTTTATCTAATCACTTGATTAAGTATGACTTGACTAAGTGTTTTTAAATACACGGACTAAAAAAATCTTGAGCGACCGATACGCTTTAAACAGAGAAAGGGTGTAATTTACGTTGCTGGCGTGGAGATCTACTCACGAATCACGTGATCAAATCTCCCATAAACAAACAAATAAACGCGAAGCTGAGTTAAGGAAAAACGTGTTTATGTGTATTTTAGCATGCCCAGCGTACCAACCGTGTCACCGTTAACAATGTGTTACCGTGTCCGTTCTCCTTTTTAGTCCGTTGCTACACATAAAAAACGTGGTTTTTTAAAAAGTTTTTTTTAAGTATTTTATTTTCTCCTTTTTAGTCCGTTGCTACACATGAAAAACGTGGTTTTTAAAAAAGTGTTTATAAATACACGGACTAAAAATCTTGAGCGACCAGGATTCGAACCTGGGTTGTCGCGGCCACAACGCGAAGTACTAACCACTATACGATCACGGCCAGCGCGCTCACATCGATTGGGGCCGAAGTAACTGTGTCAATAGGCCTCAAGTCTTGTCGGTATCTTTAGAAATCATGTCCTCAATTTTATGGTCCTTGGGGCGTAATTAAATTAAGCTAATTACGGTCACTAATTGCTAGTTTTTATGATTGCATCTGAAATTGTTAGGCGAAAGTAGCATGCATGCCAAATTTCAGGTCTCTAGAGCATTCAGAAGTGGGCTAATTTTCGATGTCAATTTTAACAACAAACAAACAAACGCGAAGCTGAGTTAAGAAAAACGTGTTAACAAGCTGCAAACGCGCCTTACAATCCCCTCTCTTCTTCATTCTTCACTAGGCATAAATCAACCTCCCCCACCCCCACATGGTGTTGTGAGCTGTGGTTCACGCTTAATGTTTATATTACTAGAGACGGTACCAATAATTGACGGCTATTAGGGGCAGATAATTTAGTTTTTAAATTATTTGAAACTAAGTGGAGATAACAAGTTCTGCTTGATATTTTCATTGTCGTCTGTAAACTGTCGTCATGGGAGGCTGCTTTCACGGGGGGGGGGGGGGGGGGGGGTCGGGGTTAGGGGAAAGGAGGTGGTTAGTGTTTTAAAGCAAATATTTTCAGTGGCAGCATTGGTACTGTCGAATTCACAAATTATGAATTACTGAAAAGTAGAAAATAAATCAACTAAATAGCGGCGTATGATACGCCGCGGGTCGGCTCGTTGTAATTAATGTTGACATTAAAGATGGTTTGCTTTAAACATGCAACAAATTTTGTTGAATTAAGCCATGCTAGTTTATGTTTAGGTAATGAATTCAATCCTCTAGACAGCTTTTATAACTGAGTGGCCATGGCCAAGACAGGAGCATCCCACCAATGCACCGGTACAACAGAATGGCCAACAGCCAAAACGACACCCCCCCTCCCAACACACAGATAGAGTGGCCAGCAGTGTTTCTTCCAGACTTTTTTCTCCGGGGGGTGCACTTGATATTTTCGGAGAGGGGGGGTCAACATTTTCCAGGGGGGGGGGCGGTAGAAGAGATGCCTGGAAGAAACTCTGGTGGCCAGGACTGAACCATGGCAGTATTAGTCAACAGTTTCTGTGAGATACCTCTATCTTTAAGTGGGAGTTCTAAGACTAGTCTGAGCTAAGGACACTCATTAAGAGTTAAGTTACAGTTTAGGGTTACTGTCTATTGTATTTGAAGTCACATACAAAAGTGTTAAACATTTGCCAAGAAGACACCAGCAACATTATTAATTACTAAGCCAATTTTTTTAGATGTGATCAAATAAACAGATAACTAAAATATAGCAATTAAATTTCAATTCACAACTATACTATTAATCAAGTAAAAATATAAATAAAACATTTTCTGGGCAATGATCCATTTAGGCAAACATGAGGGCAACCAGCATAAACCACATATATGTCAAAATATCATTTACAGAATGCTTTATTTTAGGTGACTGATTTTTCTCTAGCAACAAACATAAGGTTTATCACAGATTGACACGTAAGTGATGTCACTTAAGAATGTCATTAGCATAATGAATTAATGTCACTTGAAGAAGATTGCTGACAGAATGTTACATGTAGATAATAATAGATAGTTAAAAACAAAAAAATATCAGGCACAAAATGTCACACAAGAAAAAGTTGTAAAAATTACAAACATAATGCCACTTCTGAATGTGACATATAAGTTCTTATTCATAAATGGTCACTTAAGAAAGTGACAAATAAGCTGTTCACAAAATGTCTCTAAAGAATGTGACATCTGTTATTACTTACAGAATGCAACTAAGAAAATGCCACTTAAGAATGTGACATTTAAAAAGTGACATTACAGCTGTTACTTACAGAATGCGACTAAGAAAATGTCACCTAAGAATGTGACATTTTAAAAGTGACATTACAGTTGCTACAGAATGTGACCATGAAAATGTCACTTAAGAATGTGACTTAAGAATGTGACATTACAGTTGTTACAGAATGCGACCAAGAAAACTTGACTCACCCCCTTCTTGTAGCGCAGGCTGCCTGTACGTTTCAGTGTCCCACTTTTGGCCGCATCTTCCTGGATGTCCGTGGTGGTCCCGTCACGATTGGGCCGCACACTCAACTCTATCAGCTCCGCAATGGGCTGCACTTTCAAGGTCAGCGTGTCAGGTGACTTTTTGATGACCTCAACAATGTCCTCCCTGGACAGGTTTTCAATGTTCTGGCCGTTGACCTTAAACATGGAATTATGTCATGAGTTCCACAAGTCTATAATTAAATGTAGTACATGCCTTTGGCTAGAGACCTAACAACATGGAATTATGTCATGAGTTCAGGTCCCTGGCTAGAGACCTATCATGTCCCTGAGTTTACCCAGCTCAGATGGATTCCTGACTCACATTAGTGAAAGTAAACAACACTATCCCTTCATACGCTATTGCCAATGTCCCAGAAACAGATGAAATCTATTTCACCAGGTGAAATCTACTTCACCTGCTCTGTGGGCCGAATGAGAATTTTTAAAAAGTGCCTTCATCAGAAAGCAAAATTTAAAAAAAAATGTTTATATCTTTTTTAATCAGTCTGTAATGAAAAGATCAGAACAACATGTCGTTTCCACTAAGTAGTGCCACAAGAAAAAGACTAAGAAATGCTAAACTTTGATTCTGGTCACGTAGATGATGTGGCATGAAGGTGGAACAAATTTTACTGTTGATGGCAAGAATTCTTGTTCTAAGTGGTAAAAGCCCAGGTGACATTCATTCCAGACTCCCTTCTATGAGATGTCCCTGAGCTCTGATAATTAAACTCTCTGGGTTTAGCGCTCAACACACAATCTTTTTATATGCTGAGATCAAAGAAATGGGTGAACTCTACCTTAGCTGCACTATCAGGCCTGGAAGGACATTTTTTAGAGATCATTTTGCAACCTGGTTATGAAATTTAATAGGATAATTTTCTACAAATACTGGATATGTTTGAAGGTGAACTTTGTCACGACGAGATATATTTCACACGGTCTATGGGGCAAGTAAAGTAGAGTTCACTTGTTTCTGTGACCTCGGCATATGAAGAGATAGTGTGGTCAGCTCTATGCCCAGCCGCCTTTACTTTCCCTAACGTCTGTTAGGTACCCATCAGAGTTGGGTGGACTCAGGGACGGTCTACTGACTTGAACCCGGATTCGAACTCGAGACTTACGGGTTAGCAGTCCAACTCTCTACTGCTAGACCACTCTGTCCCATGATTTGGTACAAGACATTGAGTAAATGTACAGAGATCAGGAGAGAGTAGATTTGGTACAAGACATTGAGCTGGTGTACAGAGATCAGGAGAGAGTAGATTTGGTATAGGGCATTGAGCTGGTGTACAGAGATCAGGAGAGAGTAGATTTGGTATAGGGCATTGAGCTGGTGTACAGAGATCAGGAGAGAGTAGATTTGGTATAAGGCATTGAGTAAATATACAGAGATCAGGAGAGAGTAGATTTGGTATAGGGCATTGAGTAAATGTACAGAGATCAGGAGAGAGTAGATTTGGTATAGGGCATTGAGTAAATATACAGTGATCAGGAGAGAGTAGATTTGGTACAAGACATTGAGCTGGTGTACAGAGATCAGGAGAGAGTAGATATGGTATAGGGCATTGAGCTGGTGTACAGAGATCAGGAGAGAGTAGATTTGGTATATGGCATTGAACTGGTGTACAGAGATCAGGAGAGAGTAGATTTGGTATAGGGCATTGAGCTGGTGTACAGAGATCAGGAGAGAGTAGATTTGGTATAGGGCATTGAGCTGGTGTACAGAGATCAGGAGAGAGTAGATTTGGTACAAGACATTGAGTAAATATACAGAGATCAGGAGAGTAGATCAGTAGTAGATACAAAAAATCAGTGCTCACCTCCACCAGACGGTCACCTGGCAGGAGCCCCGTTATGTTATTGCCTTGACCACTTCCTGGTTCAGCGAAGGTCACGACCTTTGGTTCCCCTCCCCCTTGCCCTGGAATCACACCTTTACGCAGGCTAAACCCGAACCCTCCCGCCTGGTTCCTCTTGACAGTGATCTCCCGAATACGGGGCGCCTTGACCGGAATGATGGCAGGTAGTTTCAGCTTTGAGGCGTACGGCTCCGGTTTCACCACCTCTACCTCCTCCTCGGGCGGGGTTATCGGAATGTCTGGTTTAATTTGTGCTGCCGTCGGCGCTGCGGAAACTTTGGTAATGCTGGTTTCAACAAACAGGTCTTCGTTTCTTTTGGTGTTCTCCTGCAGAAGTTTGGTGTCATCTAGGTCTGATGGTGTCAAGCCGACAGACCCCTCCCCTTTCCCTTTCAGGATGCTCTTCACCTTCGGCTTGGGTAAAACAGCGGGTGGCGGATTCTTGGACACGCTGGGGAGTTGCTGCCTAGGCAGCGGTTGGGGTTTGGTCAACGGTCTGGCCTCTTTGACTGGACTGGTTCTGGTGGATGACCCGCTGCTGCCCTCGCTCTCAGAGGGACTGGGCAGTTCCGGATGCTCAGCAGATTTGGATTTCTTCTTCTCCCGGTCACTGAATCGCCTGAACACGCCTTTCTTCAAGTCTTCTAGCCGAGTCATTTCCTCCACTGTGATGTTCTGCCTTTCTTTCTTTTCTTTTTCTTTCTTATCCCCCTTATCATCTTTCTTTTTCTTGTCTACTTTCTCCTCTTTTTTCTTGTCCTTCTCCTTGTCTTTTTTCATAAAGCTAAACATTTTCGAATCCTCCTTGACCTTGGACTAATTAGTTTCTGTACCAGCTGGCTTCAGTATGCATTGACCTTTAAAATAAAATTTAAAAATAATTAAGACGGTGAATGAGAAACACAAAGCATGTCCATTTTTATTTGAAATAGAGTAATAAAAAAATAAATATAGCAGGGAATGCATTAGCAGTTGGGATATTTAAAACTGTAGTGTTTTTTAAGGGACTCTACTTAAGTTTTTCAGTAAAAATCTAATCCTAGGAGCCCAAATCTCATAAAACCTAAACCTTGAAACTTACTTCCTGTTACCTTTTGTTTAAGTTTAAATAATATCTTAAAATATCTGGTGCACAATCTGTTCCTAAATCCAGAATGTAAAAAAAAAATTGAGAATGCTCAGATCACATAAGTTTAAAGAGTATCCAATATTTTGCTGTTCTCATTACCACAATAGGAATAGTTCACAATGTTCAACACAATTCAGTGTCTTCATTATATAGTTCCACCTATCACAAGTTAAAATAATTCCACCAATCTCCACTTAAAATAAGTTCCTTCCACAACCCATTAGAACAGTTTCCTACAATGGAGTTGTGCAATGTTTGTTTGAATCAGCTGTTATTCTCAGCATTCCTAGTCTGCCCCTAACCAAGTGTTAAACCTTAACCAACATGCACACAGCTGATTGGGCTAGGATTGATCACCACACTCACTGTGTCATGAACACACAATCACGCAGATGATTGGGTTAGGATTGATCAACACATTCACTGTGTCATTAACACACAATCACACAGATGATTGGGCTAGGATTGATCAACACACTCACTGTGTCATTAACACACAATCACACAGATGATTGGGCTAGGATTGATTGATGCATGCACAAAGTCATTAACACACAGACCCACATCTAACAGAGACCTAGTTAATTAACCTAAATTAATCAACTCCAGTAAATGTAAATTAACATAAACATTTATTTCATAGTCAGATCCTGGATAGCTTACACAGAATACACCCCCACACGACAACCATACACAGAAAGCCCCACCACGCCACAACACACCACCATACACAGAAAACATCAAACCAAACCATACACAGAAAACAGCACACCAAACCACAAACCATACACAGAAAACATCACACCAAACCACAAACTATACATAGAAAACACCACAGCAAACCACACACAGAAAACACCACAACACATTAGATACACAGAAAACATCACCACATCACAACACAAACCATACACAGAAAACACCACTACAACACATACCAAACGCAGGTCAAGACAAAAGCTTCACAAGATGCTACCAGTTTTATGTGCTGAGTTTTATAGGCTGGTGACCCAAATAATTACACAAGAAGTGTAACAGTAACAGATGATTCAGCTTCCCCCCCCCCTTCCCTACTAGTGTAAAAACACTGACATTTAGCACAAACAAATTACACGATGATTAATGATCATTAGCTGTAAGCTCATTTCCATTGTGCAGAACCTCTCATTAGTTAATATATATATATATATATATATATATATATATATATATATATATATATATATATTGTTCTAGTATATATATTGTTTAAGTACCATTTCTTTTAAAGGTACTACATATTTAGGTTTTTTCTTCTGTATTTGTTGCTAAACCCTAGCCCAATTTAATTTGTATGTCCAATGATACTTAAATCCCTAAAGTAGCCTCAAAACTAATTTTAACCCTAAGTGTTAACCCACACCGGCTGATAAAAACTGGCTGATGCAAAACCCGTTAGAAAGTTTACTTCCAATCCAATATTTTCCCAGAAATGATCTTTTATTTTTCAATTATTAATCTTCTGGTTCATGCTGTCTGTTGTTAAAAATATGCAATACTGTACTGAGGTGTATGAAAATGACAAAAATTATTTGAAAAATTTGAACAGATATTGGAAAAAAAATACTAACTGACAGAAATACATGGAAGGATGTTATAATTGGCGTACATGCCATTTGGAATTGAAAATGGCTAAGAAGAAGAATCCAGCTGTATCATCTATATGAATATATGTATGGCTTGCTCATTCAACATGTATGTATCAACATAAGCTGATGTACACAAAATGTACATGCCATTGGGAATTGAAAATGGCTAAGAAGAAGAATCCAACTGTATCATCTATATGAATATATGTATGGCTTGCTCATTCAACATGTATGTATCAACATAAGCTGATGTACACAAAACTCTTTCATTGACCCAGTGTTATCAATGAACAAGGGGAAGTAACTCTCACATCCCTGGAGAAATGCAAGCTCTGAGATGAAAATCTGAAGCCAAATTTAGCCAACAGAGACATCCAGCAAATATAAACAATCTCTAACTAGCTCATCCTCTGGGTTGCTAACAAATTCTTTTTTTCTTTACAAAGTTTGCAATGAAAGGTGAGGAAAACCAACAGCCCCTGGGGGAAAGAGGGGGTGGAGAAGAAATACTTTGACCCCCATTGTGGCTGGGCAGTTTTAGCATCATGAGAGGCATTGTTTTGAAGGTGAATCTGTGATGACGTGCCCCAGCTTTGGTGTGGGTGCATGAGGAATCATGCTCATACCCTTCTGATTGAGATATAACAGAATATTTGGTTATCTCCCATGTTATTATTTGAACACAAAAAAACAACTAAAATCCATTGGAATGACTGCAATAGCAGTTAAAAAAAAAAATTTATAAGAATAAAAATTACAAATATTCCTGTTTTAATATAAAAATATATCCCTAATTTATTATTAAATGAATAAATAAACATTTTAGTTGATTGTAAAAAATATCTTTTTCTTACAGCCTTTATAGACTTCCGTTTCTCCTCAGCTGAGCTAATGAGCCATTTCATGTGCAAGTTGAGTTATCTCTCCTGTCAGCAGACAGGTTTTTAATACTGATACAGATTTTTTTTTTTACAAATAGGAAAAAAAAGTTGTATTCAGTGGTTTATAGAAGTAGCCATAAAATTTTAATAAGATGATTCACAACATTATCCAACTGCACCAAAATTTTAAACTTTTTAAAAAAATTCACCCTCACCTCTGTATTACACAGATGAAAATTGATTTATTGGGTTGTAAGTTTTAACAAAATAAAATAGGTGTTTTTTTATCCTAATTTCACAAAATATTTTTTTAAACTGCACCAGTTGCCTTTTCCCCTAATTAATTATATTAATCAAATCCATAAATTTGTTTTCCCACATGTTTAAAAAAAACCCTGACCCTGGTGTATTTAAGTTAATTTAATTTAAAAATAAAACAAGTAAATGAATCCTAGCGGACAAGCGAAGTTAAGTAAAGTAATGGGCCAACTAAACACACACTTGAGAGCTGAGCCATCTTCCACTTCAGTTCATCTCAGTTAGTTAAAACTCTTCACAAGATCACAGCTACACAATTAGCACAGCCCCACTTTGAGAAACCCAATACCCTATTTAAGTGACAGGACATTTTTTTAAAAACATTATCTGTGATGTATTAACAATAGTTACTTGTTGAGTTATGCAGTGTATGTTGATTTTACTTACTTAGGGCCTTTAATTTATTAAAAATTATAATAAAAATAGGTCATGCAAACATAGCACCACTAAGCCGACTAATTATTAATTAAACTAATTAAAGGGGTTAATGAAATGATATTTTATTTTTGGTGTTCCATACTAGGACAATTTTACTGTACCCAATTAGACAACACATAGCTCAATACTGCAGTGTTTCCCACATCTAATTGTGTATTAAAACACACCGTGCTAACTAACATAACAGACATAGTTAACACACTTGTATTTTTCTGTTCCAAGTGACAGCTTGGAAAACAGGTTTTTGAAAAAAATTTTAATAGTACTTTTTATAGAACACAGCAGACATGCATGATGTTTGATAATTAGACAGATTACATTAACACATGCCTAGTGAAACATAACATACATTGCATTTAAATTAACTTTTTTACTACTCAAGTACTAAGTAAAGTTTAAAGTAATAGGATGCATTTCGCATTATAAATTTATATAATTTTAATGATTAGCCTACATAAGAATAAATCAGCTATATTTAACTTTTAGAAAACTGACTTTTAAAAATACCAAAATAACATTTTTTCTTAAATTTATGAAGTTATATAGAGTGTATTTATATCCAATGCCATTTAAACAAGCTTATCTACTTTAGACAACAAGATCAATAGCTATAAAATTTTGCCACTATCACATGATTGTATCAAGATGTACAGCTATTGAGAGCCAATTCAACACATGGAGTTTTTTTAACACACTGAATGGGATCACTGTTTAACAGCACAGTAACTTCAGATACTACATATTTTGTCTGACATAAAATATACACATAACAAATTTGCTTGGGAGTTGAAGTAGAGTTGAAATGGTATACAATAAAAAGGTATTCAATGAGTGAAACAAAGCCAGATGTGCATTCAATAATGTCCTAAAGATCTACGTCTAAATCCTGCAGTATCTGTAATAAAAGCCAAAAATTCAGGAGTTGTTATCAAGCGCTCTATAAGTGACCACATTTTCAAGTGGAGAATAACCCTAAAATTTAAGTAGCCTACACTATAATTGCAAGTTCAGCGTTAGCTGGACAATTAAGCATTTAAGTTTGCTAAGCTTATGACTATGAGCTATCAAAAGTTTAAAAATGAGCAAGCAAGTCCTTATATCAGACTTAGTCAGCTAATGAGGGTTTTAACAAATTTAATGATTAGTTATTATGGCTATATTAAATACAGCTAGAATTTGGATACTGTTAACCTACTTTGATTAGATACTAGATACAATTAATCAGGACCACCATTATTTTAAGGCTACAGTCCTCTCTGGCAATATGTGCTCATTGGTATTTGATACTTTGAAAGCTGTGTTTTAATTTTTATGCATTAATGGCATTATACTTAATATACTTCTCCATGCTTTTGGGTGGTGTATGATTTGCAATATAAAAACACAATAAACAAAAATTAAAATCCAATATTTTGCACCTATCTTTGGTAATTTATAGATAATGATATGGATAATTTTAATCACTATAGAAAACTAGCTATAGGACAGTTTGAGTTAACTAGACAAGATGATGAGTAAGAATTTTTTTTTACCTTTTTCCCTTTAAAAATGTGTAAAGTTAGGCAATCAAAAATATTATTAAATATTAAATAGTAAATAGGCCTAAATATTAAATATAGTAGGCCTAGGCCCTAAATTAATAATAAATATTAGCTTGCAATGTTAGCTTACTACAAAATATTAAAAAAATAACATAACAAGTAGATCTAGAAGTACTAGAGTAATCTAGTAGAATCTAGACTCTATATTTAATTTACTTGAAACAAATGAATTTGTAGATTATTGTAGTTAATAATTAGGGGAGGGTATTTGTAAAAATAGCAAATCAGGCAAATCTATTAGATCTAGATTCTAAATAGATTCTAGATTCTAGTAAAAAATAGGACAGGGCAGATCTAGGACAAAACAACGCAAACAGTACGAGTACACAGTACACAAGCGATAGGCCGAATGATATGAATGATAAAGTTTCCGGAACTGAATTAGTTAGATCTAGGACTAGAACTATGTCACTGTCTATATTAAGTATATTTTACTCATGAGTTAGATAATGACATGTAAATCCGTTTTATAAAAATAAAATGAACGATACATCTAAAAATAACGAATGTCATGGAAACAAACAATGGGATTTACCTTCCTTCTCAAAAAACAGCCATTTCCGTATTGCTTACAACTGGTACGCGAACTTTCACTTTCTCACAGAAATAATGGCGGAAGTAAAGAAAGGATAACTCTGTGGGGAACATCCACCGGCTAGATATTTTATTTTTGAGTGTGTAAAAAAGCCATGAGCGTGGACCAGATGATGAGCAGACGTGCAGGGCGGGGTTGGGCTGGGCTAGCCGTCCTGTCTTTAGGCCTACTATGACTAACGAATCGCCCGCTTAAAATAGGCTGGCTATTTTTAGAAACGAATAGTAAATAATAGTAATTTGCGCTTGTGAAAACTGTTTAATCGGTTAGACTTATTAGTAATTACTGTGACGAATTAAATTAATAAACAAAGATTTTTCGATCACCCTAAAAATAGCTATGAGGCTTAGTCTTCCGATATTTAGAAAGGTTCTTCCAAGCGAGCTCAAATCCACAGAGCTTTATCTAATCTTTAAAAAAAAAGGGGGCGCGATACTCACAAACCCAATAAATTTCGAAGTTTTCATTCCCATTTCTGAGGTAGATTTAGGCTTAGGCCTGGACCTTCTATAGAAGGCTATAATAAAAACATAATCAATGTGGAATGTAGTCTTGTAGTTTTAGATCTAGTTATTCTTAACCGTTTTTTTTCTCCCTCTCTCAATATACATAGGCCCAAATGAAAGATTACTATAACTATAATTCAGAGGCGTAGCGACCCTTCCCGGCGCCCGGGGACAAACTTTCAATTTGGCGCCCCGCCCCCTCGATTTGCCATTTGCACCCCCCCCTTAAACTTTCGATTTGCACCCTCCCCCCTCAAACTATTTATATTGCAAAAATGCAGCTAAAATGACATTTTAATTTGTTTTTACAACCCATTTTGGCGCCCCCTAAGGTCGGCGCCCGGGGGCACATGTACCCCCCTGCCCCCCCCCCATCGCTAGGCATCTGCTATAATTTGGTGTGTGTGTGTGTGGGAGGGGGTTGTCAAAGAAGGATTTGCTGAGGGTGGCAAGTCATTTGAATATTTTAATGCACGCCTAAAAAAACAAACCTCTAGGGTTAGGGTAAGGGTTAAGGGTACCAAAATACAGACCTTTTTATGCAAATTATCAAAACAATGTTGCAATGTCACCCTCTTCAATAAAATCTAAAAGTACAAGTTTCATAGCCTCTTGTTTATCTTTTTTTTTTTTGGGTGGCGGGGTTTAACTTTTTGACCGGGCTTATCTGGACAATATCCGGCAAATCTGACTATCAGAGGTGTAGTGATCTATTCCAGTGCCTGAGGCTAACTATCGATTTTGCGCCCCCCCCCCCCACCCACATACACACTTAAAGACGCACGTATGTATTTAGGTTGGCGATGTTAGGAAGGTTGGGAACGTTTTTTTTTTTTTACCAATCACCGCTCAGACCAATTTTTTTTTAAATTTTTGGCGTCACACTATTGTCTTAAGTTTGAACTGTATATAAATTTATCACACATCGTCACAAAATTACCGCCCCCCCAACCCCCCCCCCCCCTACGAGTGTGACGTCATTTATAGACGACCCCTTGACCACCACGTATTTTGTGTTTGCTTGCCATTAACAGGCTTACCTTGACCATCCCGTGTTTTGTCCGAGATCCCTCCCTGGGACGTAGCCAATGACCAGCTCCTCTCGCACACCTTAGTCTAGCTTATTCTCCCCAGACAGTTCATGCAAATTAGAGGCGTAGTCATCGGGGAGGGGGGGGGGGGTAAACATTTCTACATGCCACTTAAGAAAATAAAAGTGTGGTTTGATGACATTTAAAAAGTTGAACCAGCAAACAGTATGCAACAGAAAAGCCCCTGTTTTTGACAGCCGCTGTAACTTTACGTCAGACAATTGTCATTTTGTGAAACTCAATCGGAGAAGGGGGGGGGGGGGGTGGGCTCAGTTAAGTGACGTCACCTTCTATGTCACAACTCCAGGTTTTTCTAAATATATTTTCTTATCACTCCAACTAATCCAAAGAACCAGAACGAACATACCTCTGTAGGTATGACGTCATTAATGGATGACCCCCCCCAGTGGCGTAGCGAGGTCGGGTGTCACCCGGTGCGGCACTTAATGGTGTCACCCCCCAGAGGCATAGAGACCCTTCCCAGGGACAAACTTTCAAATTTTCGATTTGCACCCCCCCCCCCCTCGAGTTTTTCTCTATATTTTTTGCTATTTTTTGCCTTGGTGTCACCCCCCTAAATGGTGTCACCCGGTGCGGTCCGCACCCCCCGCCCCCCCCCTCGCTACGCCCCTGCCCCCCCCCCCCCCCTCGCGTTACATAAGGGGTTGCCCATTAATGACGTCACACTCGTAGCGGGGAGGGGGCGAAATTTTGTGACGGTGTGTGTGTGGGGGGGGTGTTCAGATCGTGTGACGTCACACTTTTGTATTATAAAAAAGAAATGTTTGAAAACGAATTTAGACCTTTAGAAAACTGTTTTAATAGGAATTGATTAAAATACTCTATTTTGACAGAGTTCAGACAAGATTTAGGAAAAATATCGATGTTAAAAAAAAAATTCAACTGCAATTTTGAGGGGGGGGGGGGGGTTTGTAGACTGAGGTGTGACGTCATTTTAGGGGTGGGGGTGTCTGGCTATTTGTGACGACGTGTGACGGAGGGGAGGTAAACATCGTAAAAAATAGCGTGACATCATTTACGGATGACCCCCCCCCCCCCCAAGGTACTAAGGAGAGGATAACACAAAACGGAATGGTTAAGGTACTAATGAGGGGATAACACAAAACACGGAATGGTCAAGGTACTAATGACGGGTTAAAATCTCCGTTACCCCGGCCTGTGGAGGCTAGTCTATCATCCCGTATTAAAAATCGGAAATTTCTCTGGAGTATTTTTAAAGTCCCATAAATAACACCAGTATTATCTCTAGATTGGAAGCAGTTGCATGTAGCACCTGTAATGCCCATTGTTATAAAGCAGTTTCTAGCACCAGTACAATCTAAGAATCTCCATTACGTTAAGCCATTTGTCTTTGATATCCCCCCTCCCCCACTTCCCATACTATCTTTAGATCAAGGAGCGGTAGCAATATTTAAGAAAATTGTTTTTTAAGAATCTTGAAGTAGTTCAACTGTGTGTGTGTGTGGGAGGTGTGTGTGTGTAGGGATTGATTTACAGTGTATCTCTGGGTGACAACAAACCAGATCTGCATATAGATATGTATGTAATAATCTTGAAGCCTATTTTGTGAATGATAAAAAAAAAACAAATTTAATATGTTATCTGGACAATCTGAATTAAATTTGGTTTATTTTTTGTTTGTTTTCCAATTGTGTAAAAATAAAAATAGAACTTTCTTTATTCTTCAGATAACAAATTACATACATTGCACATAATCAAACACACCAGTCATGTAAAGATAAGTCAAAAAACTTTACACAATGATAACATGATGTTTACAACAGAGCTGGGTGGACTCTGTGACATCCTGCAGATTCCAGCAAAGGATCCGAACTCATGACTTTTGGGTTAGCAGTCATGTTTCTTTATTTGACCACACCGTTCTATGACTCTTGTATTTGCTTGACTCAACACTAAAAGAATTTACCAGACTTTGATCCATTTACATTTTTCGTTTTAAATAATTCTTTAGGAACATCGCCCCAGTTAAACAACAGTTAATCATCATAACATCATTAGGGCAGTTCATTATTGATTATTTATACCTGAGTCATTATGTACATGATTCATTATTGCAATCAATTTTACTGAACAAGTTGACAACATAGCAGGTAGAATAGTAATGTATATTTAACAATACTGTTTGAACAAAGAAATCTACAACTTTTAGTGTGCAACAGAACAGGCATAAGATGCTGAATATGTAATGTCATTAATAAATAAACAACAGGTGTTAAGACAATAAGACACTTCACCTATAAGTTTAAAATTATCAGTCAGAAACATCATATTGAAATACAAAGAAAATCTTGAATAATATCACAATTATTAATCACAGTAATATTTAAAATTTTATTTTTGAAAGCTCTGGTGTTTTAACTTTGAATAATACAATAAGAAAATTAAATTAAATGTATTTTTATAATTTTGGCCGAGTAATTTTGGCATACTGAAATCTGGCCACTGTTCTCATGTGAACTTCATCTGGACCATCTGCAAGTCTAAGAGTTCTGGCCTTGGCAAAAAGATGAGCCAAGGGGAGATCATCATTTACACCAGCACCTCCATGAGCCTAGAAAGCATAAACACATTTTTTTGCTGAGAAAATATTTTAGTAGAGCCATGGCAAAATAACCCTATTCAGTTTTTGTATTACTGGTAGTCAGAATAAGAATGAAACCTAAAAACAAATTCTACTATATTGTTTTCTAGTTGTAAGAAATCACACGAGCTTGAAGTGGCTATGTATTACAATATCCAGAATACATATATAGAGGGTAGCAGTACTAAACACTCAGGTTCACCTGTATTAAATATTCAGAATAAATTACCTGTAGACAGGATAGTTCACTTGTAATGATGTAGGTCACCTGTATACAATACAGCTCACCTATATACAGGATAGCTCACCCATATTGAGGTAGTTCACCTGTATACAATACAGCTCCCATGTATACATTACAGCTAACCCGTATAGAAGATATCACACATGTATAAAATAAAGCTCACCTGTATGGCCCTATCGATCACACGTAATGCCATGTTTGGTGCAACTATTTTGATCATTGCTATCTCAGGTGCAGCAACCTAGAGTGAAAAAAAAAGTTAAATTTTTTTTTTCTGTTCTTATGACCCTTTCATAAATAGATGTCAAATGATAGTAACAAAACTTTCAGGAACAATGCAGCACAACTAAAATATTTTGTGTTTGTTTCAATATATATCAATTAAATGTTATTAAGGGTTGAAAATGCCTGTGATGAAAGCTTCTAAATTGGCAAAGAAAAAAAAATCATCACTGACATTTTAGTGCAGAGACCAAAAGCTATAATAATTATTATAATATGAAAATACGCTTTCTATTTTACTGTTGTGCACTTCAGTTAAACTTTTTGAGCATTCTCAAAGACTAGACTCTGCCTCAGAGTTTAAAAAACACTACCATACACCATGACTAAAACAAACATTGTTGCCATAGAGGTAAGCATATAAGATTTA